TATTCATGCGCTGATGAAGTTTCGATTCGCAATGGTATGGATGACGTCTTTATGATGATGTGGCCTTTCATTTGCAAATAAACTTTTTAAATTTAATATGTGCGCATGGTCACTGTTTTAAATTCAGTGCGTGAAATTCAAGGTAGGTTATGTGTGGTCAGATTTGTCCGTTTCTGCTGGTCAGTGCTATGTGTTGGCTGTAGTTTGAAGTATTGTCGTTAAGATGACGTTGATTTCGTTTTTGATAATGAACCTTGATAATGTTTGATAATGAACCTGAATGGTTATCAGTCGGGGAAGGGTCACCATTCTCCGATTAATTCAACCTATCACGAAATGTTTCTGAACCATTCTATTACTTCACTCACTCGCATCCAGTCTTGAACTCGAGAACTAAAACACTTACCTAGACCGTTGCTGATTTCACTTCGTAATTACATTTTTTTCGTAAATCTGTGTTTGCTATTTGCTTGTCACGTTATATATTGAAAGCGAAAAAATTATTCTGATCGTTCATTGCATTCATGCTCAATTCACTTGCATCCAGTTGCAGGTAACAATGAAGGTGCAGTTTTTAATCTGTCTTTTACCGTATTTGGTCATTGCGGCTCGTCATGACACATGTGAAGGTTAGTGTATCAATGAATTAGTAACATAATTTTTATTCGATCTCATATTTCAGTTCATCTGACATATGAGATCGAATAAAACCTTTGATATCATGAATTTGTTCCAGTTTGATTTAGTTTCTCATCAGAATTACGCATTTTGTCATCCGTGAAAATGTTCAATGACAAATTTTAACCGGTGGCGGTGGTGCTCGAAATAAATTCGAAAAATTTTAGATTGTTTTCCCATTTTGGTTGGGTTGATTTCAGAAAATTGCTCAGCTTGATTATATGTGAAGGTTCATGTCATATCTGTTCTAAGCATTCAACGATTCTTGCAGTATGTATCAAGGTTTTAAATGATGCAATGGCCAAAGTGGATTCCAAAGATAAGTCTAATCAGGATAAAATTGCCGAAGCTATTCGACAGCACTGTGGCGGTTTGAAGGGCAAGGAACACAAACTGGTGAGTTTTGTATGATTGGCAGTTTGAGTACTCCTTTCCATTACACTGGATTTGGTGTGGCGATTCTGAAGTCATACTTAGTGATGTCTGCGTTTTTATATTTTTCATTTTCTCGAATAATTTAGCTCGATTTCTGTAATGTTGAAATGAAAATTGCTTCCATATGCATACGATAGTTGTGCGAATTACACGAAGAACTTGATTCATAGCGAGCATTGTATTGATATGTTTGAAACTGCGCTTCAGTGTTTCTACATTGGCGCCCTACCCGAGTCGGCCACTTCAATAATGAATCAGGTCAGCAAACCCTTATCATGGTCTATGCCAGCTGAGAAGGTGTGTGAAAAGTTGAAACCTATGGATGCGCAGATTTGTGAATTGAAATACGGTTTGTTGTGCGCTTTATTTGAACTTTCTTTGCACTCTTTTTGGTGGTCAAATTTGCATAAGTTTGTGTGCTATTTTATTGGTGTTTGATGAGGATCATTAGATGAATTTTTACAATGGCTTTTGTATATTTGAGATAAATCGATTGATTGGAAAACGGTGGACTTGAAGAAGTTACGAGCGAAGGAACTGAAGAAAATACTTGAGGATTGGGGAGAGGTGAGTCATTCTCGTTTATTCGTTCATACGAACGTTCGCTGTTGCGCTCAATACTTATCATATGCTCTACTTATTATCTTGACTACCAGCACCTATCTAAGTGTAGTTTTGAGTGAAGTGTTTTTACTTGTTGCAATGAAATTATAATTTCAGTACTGCAAGGGATGTAAAGAGAAGTCAGAGTTCATCTCAAGAATCGAGGAGCTGAAACCAAAATATGTGAAGACCGAGCTTTAATATGGTGATTGTTGTTATTTTAATATGATTGTTGATTACTTTCCATCACTCGATGGAAACCTAATGAGTTACGGACGTAAATGAGTGGTGGCCTTTGTTAGATCATTACCAATGATACTGTTCTATTCTCTTGAATGATTTTTGAATCGGTGTTGTGATAATTAATTCATTAATTTATTCATTCATTATGATTACGACAATTAAGTATTGTTTTTTATTGTTTTAATGGCGTATTTGTTTGTTTGATTGATTATTTCGTTGATCGTTTCGTGATCGGTTGTCATCCCATCGTATAGTTATTGTTGTTGTTTCGATTTGGTTTTGATTTGTTGTCGAATATTTATTGAGATTTTTGTTTTGGTTGTTTGGAGTATTTGTGATGATAAACTTTGAATTAATTTCAATTGTTTGTGCTCGTTTGTTTCTTCGTTTTCTTTTTAATGCCATCTCATTAATGTAGATATTAATGTATCACATTCATTACAGTTGCTTCAAGCACTGTACCTGATCAGATGTCTGTATCAAGGTTTTATGTTTAGTGTTCACTTGAAGCAGTTTCATCAACAATTGGATCGAATTCATTAAGTTGGGAGGAGAAGGAAATTTTTAGTTGTGTGAAATGGGTGAGGCTCGATTAGGTATTGTATGAACTGTGAACAGTTTCTGAACGTGGTGGTGATTCCGAGTTAGGGTTCTGGAACAAGAGCTGTGTTTGCTTAGACTTCAAGAGTAGGATGGCTAGATAGGACTGTAGAGGTGGAATTTCGAGTGTTTTATCTTCTCGAACGAGAGGATATGCAAGGTTAAAAGCAGTGAATGATGATAATAAGAAAAAATAATATTGATACATCGATTGAAATCGTTAGCTTCATTGTGACACATGGCTATACGCTATTGGCATTGTTAATGTAATGGTGATGCTGATTCGATGAGATGATTATTCATTTGTTTATGTTTACTGAGTTTTTAAGAATGTTTCTGAAGTACTTGTTGGTGATAACAAAAAACTTAGATGAGGAGGAGTAACAAAGCGAAAAAGCATTAAATAAATGAAACGATGAGTATGAACGACCACTGAAGTGTATGACATTGTAATGAATTAGTCATCAAGAGGGCGACGAGATAATAAGATGATTTAATAGCTATGATAAGAGCTAATGTGCTATAGCGATGTGGTTTATTGATTCAGACGAACTTCTTGTTTTTTGTTTTGTTGTGGATGTATTAGTGTGTGTGTGTGTGTACACGTTTTGAGACGACTTTAAGACTGTTTAAAGTGCAGTGTTAGTTAAGTATTATGCTTAAGTTTTGATTGATATACACTGCTAGATTAACATTGATACATCATGCATTACCACAGTCACTGTGTGTAAATAAATTATCGCCAGCCTAAAGTTAAGATGAAGTCCCAAACGAAAATCTCTTATTGAAATTAAATTCTTTCGCAGTTCAAATACAAAACATTTGGGAATCTGACGAGTTGCTTTTGTGCTAAATCTGGAATCTTGACGCGGTATCTTAAAATGAACTATTA